TGTAGATACTGCAATAGGGCTTGGTTTATCCAGAAAGACAAAGCAGCACTGAATCAGCAAAATCATAACCAGAGAAAAGATCTTGGACTTGCAGCAAAAGAGTGGTGAATAAGTGCACATTTATAAGTTTTAAGCTGAAGTCAATATTTAAAGTATGTAATATGTTATGATTTCTACCCTGCTTGAAGTAATGTTTGATTAATCCACCGATTACTGACCCCAATTGTATTACATTTGAAGGTCTTCCTATAATATCGAAGAATTACCCTGATTTCCAGGTTTAATGTTACATTTCTCTAGTAAACAAGCTGGGATGCCATGTTTCATAATCTGCGTGAAGCCAAGTCCTTACTTGCCCTTAAGGAAACACCTCTCCAGGTGTTTCAAAACCAGGGTTTCTTCCAGAAACAGAAGGATAGGAGGTCAAAAATGTATGCCTGACACTAGAGAAAAAGAAACTGCTTATTGGAAAAGCAGCTAGAGCCACATAAGAAATAAGATGCTTAAGGCAAATTCACTAACCGGAAATTTTCATACTACTCACTCACAAAATAAAATTTTAACAGCCTTTGCTTTTCTAATGATCAGGAACTTCGTAGCAGGTTTTCTCTAATTAAATACTCTGCTCTGAAACAGCACTATGATGTATTTATTTATACATGACTGTGATTTCTGTATGCCAAAGCAAACGACCTACTCTAACTCCAGGGTTTGTACTATGATCCCCAGACCTCTTTCTTTCTTTCTTTTTTTAAATATATTTTATTGATTTTCTACAGAGAAGAAGGAAGAGGGATAGAGAGTTAGAAACATCGACCAGCTGACACCTGCACGCCCCCCAGTGGGGATGTGCCCGCAACCAAGGTACATGCCCTTGATCGGAATCGAACCTGGGACCCTTGAGTCTGCAGGCCGACGCTCTATCCACTGAGCCAAACCAGTTCGGCCCCAGACCTCTTTCTTAAACAAGGCTCCCTCTTCTCTCTCTGGTCTGCTATTGGTGGGAGGAGTTAATTTCTCTGAAGGCCACCATTAAGACAGCTGGCTTCAGAAAAATAAGTTTTACCAATGGAAGGAAGAGGTAAATCCATTCAGCCACTGAGAGAACAAAGTCAGAATTTCCAATCATCATTGCAAAGAGAACATTCTCTGAGGATATATGTAGCTTGTTTGTGGATTCTAAGCAATAATGACAGACCATAGTCTTGTACTCCTGAAAACTTGGAGAGAGTTGTTTCTATTCTATCCTTAAATAGATGAAGAATCTGATTTTCTGAAAGATTAGAGCTTAATGCATGAATCCTTTTTCAGGATGAGGCATAATAAAAAAGGGGAACTTACTAAAGGTATATCTCTTCAGAAACAATAATGTTTCTGAACATTAATTTGGCAATGAAATATCCATACTGTGAAATTCTCTTTTGGATAATTAATACCAAGAAATTTGTAGAATTTTTGCAGCCTACAGTCAAAGAAATCTTTTGTTATCTAATTGTCATTATTATACATTCTTTAATTATTCTAGATTTTGAGATCTTACATTTATTTTAGTACCTCTTATGACTGTCATATTTCTGTTCACTTCTGGGTTATATAAAAGCTATGCATTCCAAAGTCATGTCCTCAGCTATGATTAAAAAAAGGGGGGGGGATGTGATTAACAGTTTCTATTTCATCATTTGATACAGAATAAAAAAGGAAACTGTTACTGCTATATTACCAAGATAAAAATAAATGTTATTTAATTTTTCTTTTTTTTTCCCTTTTCTTTTTTTTTGCATGTCATCCTTGCCCAAGGGCCATGCTAATCTTCTCTGTATCGTTCCAATTTTAGTATATGTGCTGCCGAAGCGAGCATTCTATCCTCTTTTTTGGAAGTGAAATTCTAAGATATCTATGAATTTATAGACCAAAGACATAGAAAACCCTATTTTTCTTCTTACCTGGCAAGCTTTTGCTATTATGTCTGATGGGGTATCTTGTGAAAAGGCTGGTCTTAGAGCAGCTCCCACCTAGAAAATAAATAGAATTTATTTTTAAAGTTAAGTAGTAAACAGTAAGCCTCTTTAATCTTTGGAGATGAATACACACAAAACACAATTTTGTTCCTTCCTTTTTATTATCTCTCTCTCTCTCTAATTCTCACCTGAGGATGTTTTTATTGACTTGACAGAGAGAGGAAGGAAGAGAAAGAAACACTGGTGTGAGAGAGAAAAATTGATGGGTTGCCTCCCATATGTGCTCCGACTGGGGACTGAACTAGAAACTGAGGTATGTGCCTTGACCTAGAATGGAACCCACATCCTTTTGATGCATGGGACAACACTCCAAACAACTGAGCCACCCAGCCAGGGCTATTATATCTCTCTTTCTTTCCAGTTACGATAAACTCAACCATACCATTTTTATTGCTTTCCAGGAGGTTATTATTATTAAATCTATATCACTACTATACCAAATAGGCAATGAATTTTGTTTATTTTTCCTTTGTTTTTGTTTAAGTGTAAATAGGATTTTCTGACAAAGTCAGATGTTCCCAGAGATAATAAAAAATTGCTATCCTTTTTTTGCTTATATTTTCCTAAACATATTTCTAACAATATTTACTTCATGGGTGAATTTTATATAACTGGATCAATTACTTTAAATAATTACTAAACATTTGTAGTCACTAAAAAATATTTAAGGGATTATTTCACCTCAAAAAGAGATGCTTTGCAGCCTGACCAATGTTGCTCAATGGTTGAACATTGACCTATGAACCAGGAGGTCATGGTTCAATTCCAGGTCAGGGCACATGCCCAGGGTGCAGGCTCAATCCCCAGTGGTTTGTAGGAGTCAGCCAATCAATGATTCTCTCTCATCATTGATGTTTCTATCTCTCTCTCCCTCTTCTTTCCTCTCTCTGAAATCAACACAAGTATTTTTTTTTTTAAAGTAAGAAAGAGAGATGCTTTACCCTGGCTGGTGTGACTCAGTTGGGTGGGCATCCTCCCATGCATTGGGAGGTCACAAGTTCCATTCCTGGGAAAGAGCACATACCCCCGGTTGCAGGCTCAATCCCCAGGTGGGAGGCATGCAGGAGGCATGTTGCACTCTTGCACTGATGTTTCTCTCTCCCTTCCTCTCTCTCTAAAAATCAATAAACTATTTTTTTTTAAGAGGGATGCTTTAAAAAGAAGGTTGTTCAAGAAATATTATTTCATATACTCTTTTTTCCCCCCCACATTTGGGGAAATCGCAGGGGTCAGCACATCCGGAGTGCACTGGATAAGCCTCGCCCTGGGAAAACCACCTTTGTGATCATGGTATCTCCCCTGCCAGGTAAGTATTCATATACTCTTGTTATAGGAATAAGTGAAGGGATTTGAGCTTTAGTTTTAATAAGCCAACGTCAATTACAGATTCTTAGCTACATTAGATTTAATACGTATGAACTAAATAAAGAATTAAATGTAGTCAACCCCGAGTTTGAGATTTCTTCCCTTTCACTAGAGATTCACTAGCTAAGGCATATCAACAGCACTTTGGAAATGAATAAAGAGCCCCTCTCTGTGACTAAAGACACATGGCAATTAACTGCAGTGTTAGCATTGCAATAATCAAATAATCGCAGAGCTGGTAAGTGGGTCCTATACTGAAGAAGAATACTATGAAAAAGATTATTGGGTCAACTAATAAAAGTGGAATATGATAGATTATATAAAAATAGTTTAGCAATGTTAAGTTTGCTGAAATTGATAACTGTTCTGTGATTATGTAAGATAATGTTCTTACCTGCTGGAAATATAGACTGAAGTGTTCAAGGTAAAGGTACATGGTTTAAATCATTTACTTTTAAATGATTCAGAAATAAGAGTGTGTGTGTAGAGAGAGAGGAGAGACAGACACTATCAATGTTAAAGCAAATGAGGCAAAATTAACAATTGTCAGTTATAAGTAAAAGATATGACTTTTTTTTTTTACTATTCTTGCAACTTTTCTGTTTGAAATTATTTATAAACTAGAGGCCCAATGCACAAAATTCATGAAAGAGTAGGCCTTCCTTCCCTCAGCTGCCGGCACCAGCTTTCCTCTGGCACCTGGGACCTGGGCTTCCCTCCAGCTGCTGGCAGGCACCCAGGACCAGGCTTCCCTACCAGCCCCAGCTTCATCCAGAAAATCGTCTGGTCTAATTAGCATATTATGCTTTTATTATTATAGATAAAAAGTTTAAAAAACACACAAAAGGACTTTATTCTAATAGGCTGAGTATTTGAGAGTAAACAATTGTATACAGATTTTTGATAGCCAGCTGGGCTCAAGTCTATAACTTCCTCACCTATACTTATGATGGGAAAACAATGGATTATACATATTCCCACTTTGTTTAGGTTTGAGCATAGCTTTTAGATAAGGTGTGGTATAGACAGAACCAAGATTTTGGTATAACCACATTAAAAAGAAAAAGTTTATTCTTTCCTTGCTAGCATAAGTTCTTTGCTTTTACATAACCTACTATTTTTTGGAATATACCTATTGTGCCTCATCTGAATAACTAATAAAGGGATAAATCCCATGAAAAATGCATCCTTTTTAGAATGAAATAAAAAAATCTTTTGCAAGTATCTAATTCTTTTAGTAATATTTTATCTGCTGTTATTAAAAGTTAATTTATCCTTCAGCATAGAGGGCACAATTGCTTTTCATTTTTAAAAATGCTTATAAAATCTTGATATGTAAAAATAATGGAGTCGAAACCGGTTTGGCTCAGTGGATAGAGCGTCAGCCTGCGGACTGAAAGGTCCCGGGTTCGATTCCGGTCAAGGGCATGTACCTGGGTTGCGGGCACATCCCCAGTAGGAGATGTGCAGGAGGCAGATGATTGATGTTTCTCTCTCATCGATGTTTCTAACTCTCTATCTCTCTCTCTTCCTCTCTGTAAAAAATCAATAAAATATATTAAAAAAAAAATAATGGCAAGAAATCCACAATACTCTTTGAATGTTCTTTTTATCTTTTAAGTGGTATACTAAATATGTAAACACAAGACAGGAAAGCCAAGCTAGAATTTCTATTCTAGTTTTATCACTAACATGATATGTGACTTAAAAATAGTGACAAGTTTTATACTATTGTTTCTGCAACTGTGGGTTGATTCAAACTATGTAATAGACAATGGCAGTAGAAATATGCCTTCTACCTGAATAAATAGGATGCAGTTCCAAATACATTTTTCCAGGGAATCTTCACTCCTTTAATGATCACTCAAAAGATCAATTTAAAATTTTGAATAAATAGAATATCTCACATTAGCTTGATACTGCTCCAGAATCACATGACCTGGAAATTCTGGCTCCGGTACAGATGCAAACTTCTTGATAATGTCTTCAAGTGCTTGGAGCCCAGCCATCCGCAGCTGGTTACTGTGATCAGTTGCAGCCATGAATGCCATACGAATCAGGTCAGAAAGATGAAGTACCAAGAGGTCATCTAAAAATAAAAATAGAAGGCAAAAGGAAAACTTTCCCAAAAATAAATATAATAACATAAAAATATGAAATGAGCCCTAACCGGTTTGGCTCAGTGGATAGAGCGTCAGCCTGTGGACTCAAGGGTTCCAGGTTCGATTCCGGTCAAGGGCATGTACCTTGGTTGTGGGCACATCCCCAGTGGGGGATGTGCAGGAGGCAGCTGATCAATATTTCACTCTCATTGATGTTTCTGGCTCTCTATCTCTCTCCCTTCCTCTCTTTAAAAAATCAATAAAATATATTTTTTTTAAAAGAGAGAGAAAGCAGTGATACCACTTCCATTTTAAAAAAAATGAAATGAAATAAATTTCTTTTATAAAGCATTTGTGATTTACATATTTCAGCATGTTTAAAAATAACAGAGAAACACTTTCAAGAAAGCTTCCATATCATAATAGCTCAACAACACTGGTAAACTAATTACCATTACTTTCCCCAAGGAGTCTGTGATTCTCTGAGAATAGGATTGGCAAACGTTTTCTGTAGAGAACCAGATAGTAAATATTTTGGCTTGGCCAACCATATAATTTCTATAGCAACTGCTCAACTCTGTTACTATAGTATGAAACTAACTACTCACAGTATGTATACAGATGGGTATGTGGTGCAACAACAAAACTATATTTACAAAAACAGACTGTGGGCTAGATTTGGACTGAAGCCAAATCTCGTAGTTTGCCAACCCTTTTCTGGAACACTTTTATAAGAATGAGATGTAGAAAAGAGGTATATATTTTCCTTTTAGCCTTAAAGACTGCCCTAATTGTGCCCTAAAAAAAAACCTTAAAATAAGGTCTCAAGAGAATTCAAAAGATACCAAGTAACTTAACTACAACCCAGAATGAAGTCCAACACTATTTAAATACAACAAAATCTAGTACTAATTGCACAAAATTTGCAATGTATAGCACCTAAAAAAAATTACCCGGGGTGCAAATAAGCAGAAAAAAATGTATCTCATAACAAGGAAAGGAAAGAAAAAAACACACCAATGAACAGAAACAGGTCCAGAAATGAGAGAGATGACAAATTAGCAGACAAGAACCTCTATTATAAATATCTTGCCTATATTCAAGAAGGAAAAGCATAAATATGATAGAGAAATAAAAGAGAAAACCACCATGGGACTTCTAGAGATAAAGAAATATCTGAAATGAAAAATATGCTGGATAAGATTAATAAGTGATTAGATACTGAAGAAGAAAATATCACTGAACTTAAAGACAGGCAACAGAAGTTATATAAAAAATTTATTGAGCTTGGGGACTTTATAAAATTCTTCAGGAGGCTACAAGAGTTGCACAGTCTTTTTGAAGCAGAGGCAAATCTGTGTGACTCAGCCTGATCCCCATTCAGCTACTATTTAAACAGGTTTTTCTTGTTATTGTTCTTGTGAAGGTTTTAAGACAAGCATCTTCCAGTTTTTTTCATGTGTCCACCCAAAATGCCAATTTTAGAATCTTAAATTTAAAAAAAAAATCAATTGGTTTGGGGAAGGAAAGCAAAAAGAATTGCGGGGGGAAAAACATTTGGCTACAAGACCCCAAATGCTTTCTCATCTAAAGGAGGCAAAAACACACCATCAATAAAAACTAGCTATAATAAACTATTTCCAGAACTTGAGAGAAAATTTCCACGACAGAAGAAACTGAATTAAAATGGGTATATTAATATTATGCCAGCCCAAAAGTAAATAAAAGGACCCATTATTCCTCCTGCACTCTCTGTCACTTAATTTATAAGGTCCAGAACTATATCAATTTACCAACCAAAATTGTTCCTGGAATTAAAGTGCTGTTGTTTCTTTACGTAATCTCTACCTCCAACTTTTCTCAAATCAGTACCTTTATCTTTTTTCCAAATCCAAGGAAATGAACTCCTAAAGAGGCATAGTGGGAATGGGGACTGGGCAGAGAAACTCCAAAATGGGAAGAGAATTAGCAGGCTGTTAGAAGTTTATTACATCTGGAGTAGTAATTCCCTACAACTAAAACACAGTAGATCAAAAGGGAGATAGGGATAATACAGGAAGAGTCTAGATAGGACTCACATTGGGTCTATAGTTTCTCACACCCCCTGCCATGACTGTTCAGAATGGCACAGTGGATGCTGGAAAGGATCCTGTTTCAATCAAGCAGAACAAAGCATGCTAGATAGTGAAATCTAGGTTGTGGAGCTGTTATACCAGCTTACTACCAGCTACCAATGTGAAGTGCCCAGGAAGCAAAGAAAACATAGGCAATTTGGCCACCCACACCATCCACACTGTCAGCAATCCTATATAATAAAAGGGTAATATGCAAATTGACCCTAACGGCAGAATGACCCATCGCTATGATGTGCACTGACCACTAGGGGATAGACGCTCAACACAGGAGCTGCCCTCTGCTTGTCAGTGTGCTTCCACAGGGCAGCACCGCTCAGCCAGAAACTGGCTCATGGCTGGCCAGTGCAATGGTGGTGACAGGAGCCTCTTCTGCCTCCACAGCAGCGCTAAGGATGTCCCCCGAGGGTTCCCAGGCTGCCAGAGTGATGTCTGACTGCCAGCTTAGGCCCGATCCTCTGGGGAGCAGGTCTAAGCTGTCAGGTGGAATCCCCCGAGGGGTCCCAGACTGCAAGAGGGCACAGGCCAGGCTGAGGGACACACACACACACCCCGGCCCCCAGTGCACGAATTTTTGTGCACCAGGCCTCTAATGATATATAAGCAAACAAACCTATGGAAAAAATACTCAGGGAAAAGGAAGATTCTAAAGATTCTACACAAAACAGAAATTAGAAAAATTTTTGTCAAATTTTTAGAAAATCAGTTGTCAGTTCAATGGGATGTAAAAAATACCCATGGCTATTATTTTTCTGGAATAAGAAAGGAAAACCATAAAGAGTGAAAATAATTTGAAATAATAGCGGTGGAAAAAATATAGAATTAAAGGAAAACTAAAAACACAAAAAAAGGCTTCAGATCCACTATGGAAGGAGAAAAGAGTAAAACATGATCAATGATATAGAGGAAAATACTTGTGAGGATCTCTGAGAATGCAGGCAAAAGCACAACAAGTTATAATAGTGAGACAAAACAATTAAGAAATACAAAGTAAGAAAGACTAAGGATATTTACCATTCCTTAAATATAGCATGAACACTTATCCTTCCATGCTTTTACAAATTCTAACCTCCTATGCTTATAATAAATCAGTGTAGTAGGCAGAATAATGGTGTCCAAATACTTACATGCCCTAATCCCTATAATGTGAGTATGTTACCTTCCATGGCAAAAGGGACTTTGCAGAAGTGATTAAGGTTATGGACCCCCAAATGGGGAGATTATCCTAAACTGTCCATGTGGGCCAACTTAATCACATGAGTCCTTAAAAGCAGAGCACCTTAACTAGCTGCAATCAGAGAGAAAAAGATGTGATGACTGAAGAAGGATCACAGAGATTCAATCTTGCTGGGAATGAAGACAGAGAAAGGGGCCACAAGCCAAGGAATGCAGGTGGCCTATAGAAACCGGGGGGTGGGGGTGAGGCAGGAGGGGAGGGGAGAGGAGAAAAGGGCCTCCAGAAAAGAATGCAGCCCTGCCAACACCTTGATTTTAGCCCAGTGAGTTTCATGCTGAACTTTCTGACCCAAGAACTATAAGTCAGTCAATAAATTTGTGTTGTTTTAAGATACTAAGTTTGTGGACATTTGTTATATAGCAGCAATAGACAACAAATACAACCAGCCTCTTCTACCTGGAAAACCCTTTCTCTGCCTTTAAAACCTAGTTTCAAAATTACATAATCTGTGAGGTATTCCCTGGCTCTTCAGGATACGAATGCTACTCTTTTATGTTCACAAAGCACTCTATCATACTACATTTGGGACATATAATTATGTGACAAGTCTGTCTCTCTGTCTCTACACTAAAAGCTCTTCAAGGGTATGCACTATGTTCTCTTTTCTTCTGTGTATCCCCAATATGTAGCAAAGAACAGGATTCACTAAATACTTGATGGATGATGACATGAGAAAGCAAGTGTTTATGACATTTCATGCTTTGCTGGTACCCTATATTCAGATTCACATTTTATACATGGGGTATGATGTTTTACTTTTTGTTTTTTAATCCATTTATAAGCTCTGCTGATCCTTAAACACAACACAGTAAACTGAAAGGCATTATGTATAGACTTCAATACTGTTGACATATAAAATTTGTCTCCAGATATTTTAAAAATGACTGGGTGATGAAGAGACAACAGGATAAGATATGGAGTCTGTTACTGCACGGCTCTCAGCTTGTCTGGGTCTCCAAATTTGTAAAATGAAGATATTAGACCTCATAATCTCTTTGTAAATTCCTCATTAATATCTAATCCAGGAGATACATGGTACAAAAAGCTTACAAAACATTAAAAACCCATGAGGGGTTTCAGTAATAAACAATTTTCACCTTTTCAAAAATACCTAATAGCATTTCTGAAATCTAAGAGTTTGAAATCCACCAAGTCAGTCCTAAAGTCTGACATTCTCCATGCTGAGGAATGCACAACTCAGGTTATACATCCTACAGATTTGTCATTTCTGTAAAATACAGTGCTAATCTGAAAATTTTAAGATTGAAGTGTTAAAACTAGGACAATGTACAAAGGAAACATAAGTTACTGCCATTGTTATCCTTAGGACAAATGAGATCAATAGATGAGAGAGAGAGAGAGAGAGAGAGAGAGAGAGAGAGAGAGAGAGAGAGAGAGAGAGAGGTGTGGGAGAAAGAGAGAAAGGAAGGGAAAGAAAGGAAGAGAAAATAAAAAAGAAAGCTACAGTCTAAAGCAGTAAAATACTGTAAACCTATAAAAATACTTTGGGAAAAGAAGTACTGATTTTAAATTTACTTGTAGGGTTTCGTAGTTTAGCAGAACGTGCCATGGCCAGATCAAAGTGAGCCTGGTCTGCATTTTCACACAGATTGATGATTCGACACAGGCAATCAGCAGCAAATACCCTCGTGGCCCACCGAGGTGCCACAAAAGGCTTTGATTTATCTTCTTCGCCTAGTGTGGTAAACATGATATCATCATCCATCTCATCTTTCTTTTCAGATTCTTCATCTTTTCCACTACCTAATGGAGTTGCAGTGCTCATATCTGTAACAAAAATAAAAGCATATTATAACAGCCTTAGAGCAAAAATGATGCTTTACAAAAAACATTGTTAGAAGATTTCTAATTTTTTAAAAAAGTTCTCAATCCTTTGAGAAGAGTAGAATTGGCAAGCTTTCTTTTTTAAACAATTAAGCAAAAATCAAGAAAAAGATAACATAAAAGTATCTCACATATTTCACTAGCTTAACATACTGTGCTATCCACAGAATAACCTGGGATTTTTATATATGAAAATTTAGTTTGAACATAGTCATTTTTCAAGAAATAAAGAAGTTCACTAGTTTGTAATATAATCTTCAACATTTTTATAGATCAGCGGTTCTCAACCTGTGGTCGCGACCCCTTTGGGGGTCGAACGACCCTTTCACAGGGGTCGCCTAAATACATCCTGCGTATCAGATATTTACATTATGATTCCTAACAGTAGCAAAATCACAGTTATGAAGTAGCAACGAAAATAATTTTATGGTTGGGGGTCACCACAACATGAAGAACTGTATTACAGGGTCGCGGCATTAGGAAGGTTGAGAACCACTGTTATAGATATTTAGATTAAAATTATAAGTATTTTAAAATGTAAGCTCAAGGTAAAACCCTAATCTTTTAAGGCTGATATATTGAGGTATTTTAAAATGTACACATCAGAAGTAAAATAATTTTCATTATTTTGATAACATATTTTATATATTAAATACATACCACTAGAAGCTGCCAGGACATCTTTACAAAGCATTAGCCAGTGGGAAAGTTTTTCTACAGCCAGTGATGAAAGCATATGTCCCAAAGTATCATGAATATCAGAACACAATTTTCTATCTGTCTCCCGGTCTAGCATTCCAAAAAGAAGTCCCTCCAGACCGGTTTCTGTTATATTAACACCTTGGTGCCGGCAGTGAATATCACTCTGAGAACTTACTCCAGGTGCAAAAGAACTGACATCTGAAAAGCAAGTTTTACAGATAAACTTGTATAAGATTTTGCTGTATATTGTAGGTAATTATGATAAGAAGTAAGGCTTAAATGTAAATTCACAATAGCAACAAAACCAGCTATATATACAATTTATCTGTGGTCTCCAGTTTATATATCTTCAGAATCAGAATTTAATCTGACAATTCAAGGTAAAACCCTAATCTTTAAGACTGATATTCTGAGGTATTTTATTTTTAAAAAATATATTTTATTGATTTTTTACAGAGAGGAAGGGAGAGGGATAGAGAATTAGAAACATCGATGAGGGAGAAGCACCAATCAGCTGCCTCCTGCACATCCCCTACTGGGGATGTGCCCGCAGCCAAGGTACATGCCCTTGACTGGAATCGAACCTGGGACCCTTCAGTCCGCAGGCCGACGCTCTATCCACTGAGCCAAACCAGCTAGGGCATCTGAGGTATTTTAAACAAATCTCACAAAATGCTCAATGAAAATATTTTTTTCTAACAAGGGTGGGAAAGAGATTTTCTAAATAGATTTAATTTAATGAACTGAAAAAGTAGTCACTATATTTGTTGGAAAAACAAGTTGAAACTTACTCAGTCTTATTGTCCAGAATTAAAAAAATCTATAAATCAGAACACAAATTATAAATGGATTAACATCCTAAAAGTTCATTTAATATTTGGAAAATCCTTTCCAAGAAACATACAATAAAAAAAATAATACAGTTATAGAATAATATTAAAGTTCTTGCTTTTTCTAAAAATACTTTTATTCTCATACACAACAGAAATAATAAAACTGGTAGCCCTAAGAATAAATACACTATGCTTGTTAATGGAACTCTCATTATACTATGCTAAAATTGAAGTTATTCTGGTGTCTGATTAATCCCCAAGCAACTTCTATGCATTAGAAAGTCTTACAAGCAAAAATTTTCTCTCACAAAAGGGGAAATATCTCTGTCAATTAAGCTCTGAAAAAGTTCCCAAGCCACCAATCCCTAGAGAGTGGAAGATGAGCTATGAATTCAAGCTATACTAAAACTAAACCCTCCCATAAAGCAGAAAGACCTGAAGAAGGCAAAGATTTACCTTTTACTATCAGAGCATCTACCAACAATTCATAGATTATTGGTTACTTTGGCCTTATCTCTCAAAGGAAAAGTTGGATCACAAAAAGTTAACTATTGTCAAAGACTGGAGTCTTTCAAAATAGGTAATTTCTCTTTTCAGAAGTCTATTAGTGACACCAAGCAATATCCCCAGAGTTAGTCACCCTTTATACAATGAAATAATTCTCAAAGAATGGTAGTATTCAGATAGTAAATGGTATTTTTCTAAGCTATGAAATCTTTTAAAAGGTAAAAATGTAAAATTACCAAGAATACTACATTGGAATTTTTTTAAAATATATTTTTATTGATTTCAGAGAAGAAGGGAGAGGGAGAGATAGAAACATCAATGATGAGAGAGAATCACTGATCGGCTGCCTCCTGCATGCCCCCACTGGGGATCGAGCCCGCAACCTGGGCATATGCCCTGACTGGGAATTGAACCAGTGACCTCTCGATTCTTGGGTCGACGCTCAACTGCTGAGCTACACCCGGCTGGGCAACATTGGAATTTTTAAGGTGATAATGACTTGATTTTATTTAAAAGAATAAGAAAAATGATCATATTTTAACAAAAAAATGTTATTTAATAAGTAATACTCATTTGAAATGTTCGAGTATTTAAAGGAAAAGAATACTGACTGGTAAAATTACTTACTAGCACCGCTGCTCTCTTTGTCCCCTGCACTTTTGGCTAGGCTCATGGCATATTCACAGACTTCAGCTGCTTCTCTTTGTGCAAGCTGCCGGAGACAAGCCACTGCTGCTCGTCGAAGTAACAAATGGGAACTACATAAGTGAACCTAGAAGCCATAATAATTGTAGACATTTTTTTTTAAAAGCTGTAATTGTACTTGCCTCATGAAGGTATATAAACACCTAACTTGTGAAGAGGCTCTCCATTTAACAGCCTCAGCTGTTTAAATAACATCCTTAAATAATAAAGATGTAATATGCAAATGGTCATTAAGCCATTAAGCGTAATGTCTGACCGCGTAATGCCCCGATCACGGATCAGCAGGAGGGTGGGGCAGTGAGCTACAAGCAGGCGGCTGTGAGCTACAGGAGGGGGCAGGGCAGCAAGCTATGAGGGAGCAACGTGGTGGAGGGAGCTACAGGAGGGCAGCAGCAAGCTACTGGTGCACCGATTTGTGTACAGGGCTACTAGTAGTCAAATAATGGACTTTTAGAAAAATAATAATACCAATAAAATATATAAAGAACATTTCAGTAGCTAAAGTAACTGTCCCAAGACCTGAGCACTAAATATCATACAAGTATACCTAATAAAATTCTAGAAGGATCTTTTGCACGTCTTATTTTACACATGGTCCTACTAAACTTTGTCTTCTAAACTTTTTAAGTGTATAGAGATTAAATATAGTAAATGAAAATTTAGGGGGCAGAATGCACAGTAAAAACTGAAAGCAAAGGAGGGTATTAATTAAAATTCTAGAAAAAAAATCAACCAAACAAACATCTGAAAAGAACTGGAAAATGTAGCCATTTTGTATGGAATTTTTTTTAACTTCAAAAGTTCCTGAAAGAATCAATATCATATCCTTAATACTTAAAGTATGATTAAGAGCTCAGGCTCTGGTTGCCAGATTGGATTTGAATCCTGGCTCTGTCACTTATTCCTGGGTGACCTTAGATAAGTTACTTATCCTCTCTGTGCCTTGTTTGCCCATATATAAAGTGGGGATTGTAATTCTTCACAGTGTGACATGAACTGTTCATGTCTTTTGGTATACATGTGCATGCATTTCTGTCAGGTATTTACTTAACAGTGGACCTGCTGGGTAATAGTGCAGGCACATATTCAACTTCTATAGGTTATGCCTAATTATTCTCCAATAAAGCTTCTCCCCCCAACCCCCTTACATTTCACAAAACTCAGAAACAGGAACATTGCTTGCTCCTACATCAGACCTCCACCTTCCAATAAAAATCCCTATTATTTTATACTTTATGTCATCTTGCTATCTCTTCTTGTATCTACCATCCTCAACAAGTGGACACCCTGCTCTGTCACTGACAACTTGGGCATTCAGCTCAAGTCTTTCTCTCACTGACATCTCCTACAATTACCTATAGACATCAATGCCTATGTACAGAATAGTCTGTCGGGACATGGTACAACGAGCAATTAATAATTCAATAGAAAGGAGCACGGAGTTTATAAAAATCTAAATTGATTCCACTAATACGGATGAACCTATGTGTAGATTATTTTTCAGAGAGTGTCAAAAGATCTGGTAATGGAAGGGACCTCTGTCAATATGGAAATCGGACAGCCACTTGAATGGCCCTTTTTCTCATCTTATCCTACCAAGCCATCTCCTTCCTACCAGCTGCCTGTAATCTCACTACTTACTTTTTGAAAGAGTTTCAGGAAAGAGCTCCAACATGCCTTGTAATAAAACCCTTGAGGTTCTACTAAGGAAATAGGTTTGGAGACATAATGCTGTGTTAACACAAAGGAAGTTCATTGCATTCCCTGTGGCTTACGGATAACTGCCACTGAGATAAAGAAAGTCATGTTATTACTTTCCCAGGTCCTCTTAAATGTGTTCTAGCACACAAGGTCAACCCCATAGTATAATTACCTTTAAGGAGAAAAAAAGGGGAAAGGAACTAGATAATTTGTGGAATGTGTGTCCGCATCTCCATCATATTTGTCAGTTGCCTACCTCAGCTTCAATCCTGTAACCAGTTCACCTCACTCATGTCGTGCCATCTATGGCCTCAGAGCTTGGGCATTAGACCATGGCTTTTGCCAGGATGTTTCATATCATGTTGAAGAATTAAATTTAGTGCACGTTCTAGTTAACTATTTTCTTTGCATGTGCTCTTTGTAAACATTATACATTTGGTTTCTGCTCTGTGGCACACTCAAACTCCTTGATAATCTGGAACTAATTCAGTTCCCCATGGTTAAACAGGAGCAAACTTGGTGGAGTAAAGCTAAATATACCACTTGAGATCTAATATCATGGCCTTCCAGTTCCTTCACCACATTGTGGATAACCTTCTCTTCCCTTTTCTCAGCCATATCTTCCCATGGTTATATCTATTATACCTTTCCTTCTCCCTATATATCAGCCTCCTCCTGTCGTTGTCTTTCACCCTTATCCAAATGAAATTTCATAATCCACTGTTAACTTCCTCACTTCCTTCATCCTGCTGTCATTTAATTAATCAACTTGGCCAAAGCCCAGCTATGAATATATCAAAGTATCTGGCTGCTCAAAGCCTGCACCCAAGTTGTTTACAGGTGAACAAATTCTCACAACAAGGTGAACTGGTACCATCATAAATCACACAATGGAGCCAAAGAGGCCACACTGATCTTGTATTTCTCCATATACTCCCAACTCCCATGTCCCATTCTCCTCAAACTTCTGGCCCTTCTCCCAACCTATACCTACACTCATCCTCTCCTCCTTTCTTTACGTTGCACTGGAAGAGCTATCTACTTATGCCCTGGAAACTCTATCCCATTAGAAACCTTGAAAATACACACACACACACACACACACACACACACACACATATATATATTTCCATGCTGTCAGCAGGTGTGACTGGGGCTGGTGCCGTCAGTGCATAAGAGTAGCGGTGGTGGAAGCGGGCCTCCCGGCAGACAGGGGCCTGGGGGTGCAGCAGGAGGGGCCGGGAGGGGGCGCGGAGGATGGTCTGAGACTTGCCCCTGTGTCCACTGCAGCCTCACAGCCCACAGTTCAAGGTGCACGAATTCATGCACTGGGCCCGTAGTATTAACATATTCCTTCTATGCCTTATGTGCACGAATTCATGCACTGGGCCCCTAGTATTAAATATTCCTTCTATGCCTTATACCAATGGTTCTCAACCTCCCTAATGCCACGACCCTTTAATACAGTTCCTCATGTTGTGGTGACCCCCAGCCATAAAATTATTTTCGTTGCTACTTCTTAACTGTAATTTTGCTACTGGTATGCATCGTCATGTAAATATCTGATATGCAGGATGTATTTAGGTGACCCCTGTGAAAGGGTCTTTCGACCCCCAAAGGGGTCACAACCCACAGGTTGCGAACCGCTGCCTTATACCATTAACTCTCCCACCCTATAGCCTCCATCTCACCAGCATTTAAACATGCTCATTTCTCTCTGCTGTAAGAGAAAAAGAATCTCTCCTGACTCCATCACCCCCTTGCCCTACTGTCCTCTCCTTACAGTTAAACTTCTGGAAAGAAGTTTCTGTTTACAGTCCATCTTTAACCCAATGTATCTGGGCTTCTATTTGTGCTACTCTACCAG